TCATGCCTGAAATGAATTACTGAAAGCCAACCAGACTGTTTCCAGTAGAGCAGGTTAGTAACTGCATGGACACATCTATGAAGTTTCCTTGACTTGCCATTTCTGGTTTTAAGAAATTTGGCAACTTCTGGTCCAGCCTACAGTCTGGCAAGTTTTTTTTATGGTCTCCTATCAAGTATTAGTCAAGTCCAAACCTACTTAATTTTTCAAGATCAGCAAAGGTTGGTCAGGTTCTGCCAACTACATGGGTTATCCTGAGTTGTTAGATAGGAAATCTGTTCAAATTCACTTTACTTGGGCATTTTCACTTTATATAGAGAGCTCACCATAACTCAAACACATATCGGTAGTCTGGAGGTATAGTTAACTGAGCCCTCAACAGAGGAGGATGAATCCAGAGTATTCTCAGATATTTCCTTTGAATCCAGTTCTTCCATTTGTGGAAGTATGTTTTGTACATGTTAGCTTGTCACATGAAGATATTTCCCACTTTACTTCAACAAGGTGACATCAGCAGTTCGGCCACAATACTAAATCCTGCACCAGAAGGGCACTCTGTAATTTGCCCTTTCTCCAAATCAAGTCCAAAAAGAACAGAATGGAGAACTCCCATTTCCTCAAAATACCTGTAGGCTAACTGTTTAGTTTCACACTGGATCCAAATCTTGGTTTGAAGCATTTTGTGAATTGCATGGATTTCTCCTGACAGGGTGACTGGGAAAATAAGCTTGCCCTGGCATAGTTTGTAGTTAAGTGTGAAGAATTTAACTAAGGGAATTCCTGGGCTAGCAGGATTCCAAGCCAGAAGTTCACTAATCATATAGGACAGAGGTCATTTGCCATTTTTTTTTTACTACTGGTTTGGACGTGCGCACAACTCTTCTATGCATGCACAGAAGCCCCTGGGCAGGTGGGCGGAGCCTCCTGCCGCAACTACTACAAAAGCAATTAGGATGGGAGAGGGGTCCCAGAGACTCAACTTATAATCCATCTACTTCCTGTCTGTAAAGGTGGTCCACCAATAATGGATAAGCCACTGCTTCTCTTCCTGCCCAGATAAGTATTTTGTATTCAAGGACAAGTGCCCCCTTTGCAGCTAGTGCTGCTATCACCTTCCTCAAGCTGATGCCTTAAACTTGGAACTACACTTCCCATTGGTCATTGAGAACACTGTGGGGCTTGCTCCCCACATCACAGCCCGAATGGATAGGTGCTGCAATCCTTAGACCCCCTCCCTTCACCTAAGTGCGCCTATAGTTAGTGCGTCTCCCTTGGCTCTTTCTCCTTCCCGCCACTCTCTGACTTCCGAAGGCCAAAGGAAACCACTTATTTCGCCCTAACACGTTGACCGTTTCCGGCTTTCCTTCAGAGCCGGCAATGGCGGCGGGGCCTTCACAGCCCCGGCAGGAAACTTCCCAGCGGCCATTGGGAATCCCCTGCTGCCAACAGGCTTGGAAACAAGGCCAACCCGCCGGCCTCGGAGAGATTTTAATCGTAGTGTTTATTTCAGAATAAACGTATTCCAGGCCGCTTTGCACCTGCAGATTTGTTCCAGGGCTGAGTGGCGCTAAAAGAAGGGCGGGGGAACCTCGACGATGTCTCGCCACAACCACGGCCGGCTGTGGAAACGCTAGAAAGCCCGCGTGAGGAAACGGCTTTTGAGGCACCGACCCATCCCACACCTTCTTGCTCCCCCGCGTGTTTGCCGTGTTCTTCCCTCGCATCCCCCCTTCCCCCGTGTGTTTACCGAGAAGAATGGCTCCGGCCTGACCTGCGGCTTTCAGATCGGGGAAGAGAGTTTTACTTCTAGGGAGGTCCGGCGTTACTTCTCCCTCCGGTTCCTCTGCCCTCAAGCCTCTCTCTTGACTTGGGAGGACGTCGGCCGCTGGGCGACTTTGGAGGTGTTTCGACGCCGGAACGTGCCCGATTTCTCCTTAGGGATTCAGAATAAGAATTCCCGGCAAATCTGGATGGGACAAGGACAACTTGAAATGTTGTTTCGGCCCCGCCGTTCTCCCCCGTTTCCTATACACCACTTGATTCTGCTTTCCTGACGGTTTCATTTTTGCAGAGGGTTAAAAAAAAAGATTGCTAACAGACGGAACGTAGCCGAGATTTGTTTACATTTAGCGTGGGCCGTAAACTGCCAAGACGCTGTCAGATGCTAATCGTTTATTTATTTACTTCTTGCATTTGTGTTTCGGATTTGCTTTTGAGAGGCTCGAGAGACCCGACCGAAGAGCCTCCCTTTTATTCGCACAACAGTTTTGGGAACTCCGCTCTGGGATCCAATAGGTTTTTAATCGGTCTCTCCCAACCAGAGCCAACGCTGGAATACACTGACTCGTTAACGCTGCAATACACTCTGTTTATTAGAAATCCCGTGAAGACAAACGAACGGGATTATAAACATGCATTAGGACACTGTGTCGATAAAAAAAATCGTACTTTCAACAAGTGGCTCTGAAATCCAGCCATCAGTACTTTTGTTTAAAAAAAGAAATCACAATTGAAAAAATCGGTTGATCAACTGCGTTCGACTTGAGAGTAGGAACACTTGTTACATCCACACGATGGCATTCTGACTTCAGATCTTTGAAAGAACAATGAATGTCACAGCCGAAGTAGTAGGGAACATCTTTAATATACGTCTGTGGCTTTTAACTTACCTTCTCTCCAAAAACTCAACAGTATCGTTTAGGGGAAAGAACCCCGCTCTCCCAATCTTACATACACCATTTACACGATCTGATTCACGTAGTGTTTTTACCGTGGGTTCTTGAATAAGTCACATTTCCTTGGGTGCAAGCACGGTGAGCCACAAATCACGTGTCCGGGTTTATAAAATATCTTAAGCCGAAACAAAACATTATGGCTTAATGTGAGTGTAAAGCAGATCCTACACGCGCGCGCCCGCGCGAACACACAGTTTCCAGGTGTTCACGAGCGAGCCGGGCCGAAAGGGAACCATCGCTTCTTGTTCTCACTTAATGGGGTATAATTTTACTTGGCGCTGGTCAACACCAACGCATTCGGAGAACATCTGCACCTCACCTCAAAAGGCATCCTTCCGCAATTTCTAAATCTATCAGCTGTTGTGTAAAACAAATGCCGGAGTAAGGGAAAGGAATACCTTTTGAAGCTACTTTGCGTGGTAAGCAGGCTGGCTCTCATCAAGAACCTGGATCCTCGAAGCGATGCAAAACTCACGAGGGTTTTGAGCCTTTCTCAAACCTCCTTGGACCGGTCCTGTGGCCGTCCACTCCCTTCAAAACCCGAGCAAATAATATTTTGAACTCACACATCAGACAGGAAAATTCACTACAATATTTTGCACTAGACTTGTGTTCGGAGACGCTACATTTCCTCACGATCAAGGCGATCCTGTACCCATGCAGGAGAGCATGCGAAGATTCATATTCAGCCACAAGACAATGCGGTTTATGCGCATGCATGTGCGAGGGTACATTGGTCTTCGGATTTATTTATTTTTAACAATTCGAGCGAGATTTGAACGGACGAAGGCGAAGGAGCATTTTGGGAGATTTGCAGCGTTGCAAAAGCAAAACGATTAGGTTTTTGCAACCTTGCCGTTTGAAAAAACAAAGTCGGATTGAAACCCTGCATACTTAGCGAGAATCAATCGCATTCGATTCAGTGAGATTTTCCCCCCAGGAACAAGCAGCTCTCACGAGTTGGCTGAGATTCTGACTCCAACTTTCCAGTACTGCATGTCTTTCTAACCGGGATCGCTACTCTCCTACCTTCTGCTTTTAAAGAGGGATAAAGTGTGTATGAAAGAGTTTGGCTGTTCTGTTGACCTGAACCTCAGTTTCTGCCAACACAGATTTTTCATTTTATAACACCGTCAAGCCTGGCGGAATTAACTGACTGTGGGTGGGACTATTCCTGAAATTGAGAAGAGAGGCTTTTAATCGGTGCGTTGGGGAAGGTCTAGTTGTAAATTAGCCAAAATAATTCCTGTTATATTCCCTATTCCCCCGAAGCATGTTAAGGACCTCAAATCCAAATTCAGCTAATAAACAGAAAGACATTCTGCGGAAAATTTCTAACGGCATATTTCCAAAATTGTGGAATTCATTTCCGAGTACTTAGGATCAGATTCGTTTGAACAACTCGAACTGCGAAACTAATCTCTCTGTTGCAATCTCTCGGGTATTCAGTTGGACCAAGTAACTTTAAGACCTTCTTAGATTTCAAGTCAGTTTGTACATTAATACAGGTTTAAAAAAAAAAACGAAAAAGGAAAAAAAACAGGTAAGGTAGAACACCTTGCAAAGGAATGGCTTTCCGCCACCAAATATATTTAAACCGCGGGCTCCTTGATTTACTTATATTACATATTACACGTATACATTCTTTCCCCCGTTTTCTACGGCGGTAAGTGGCGTCGCCTGACCTGCAAAACCTAATGGAAACTCGATATTTACTCGTGGGAAAGCGGACATTTTGATACAGTTGTAGAAAAGTCTTTGCTACAAACTTTTCCCCTCTTGCCAGAAGTAAAGGCCTTTTTTAACTGAGCAGTGCCTTGCGGGAAAGAACAGAAAAACCCACTTGTTCCCAGTTTTCTCCGTTTCCCGGGACCTGAGCAGCAACGGCTCGTCCCCACCCACCCATCGGTGCCTTCTTTAGCCTGTCTCGGACTCCGCTGAAGAGACGAGCCAGGTGTCCTTTCCCGCGTCCACTCGGGAGCCGAGAGGTCACAAACTGGACGCGGCTACGGTGCTTTCAGGCCCGCAACAAGGGTAAAAAGGGGTGTGCCTAGAAACGGGTGACGTAACTCCGCCGCTCAACCAGTAAGAGGCCGGCCTTTCGGAGCTCTGTTCCAATAGGAAGCCAGCTTGCCGTGTGAGTGGCATTAAGGCCGGGCAGACTGAAGCAGGGCTGAGAAATGAAGTTAGGTAAAAAGCCCTTTTGGCTATCCAGAAGTTTATTAGGCATTTCTCAGCCTGAAAATTAAGGATTCCTCATTAACTATCGCTTCCTCCCGAATACAATCCTGGACGAGCCGGACAGCAACGCTAGAGGATGAGAAGGCATAGATTCCCCACTTTCCACCCGTGGGAGAAGAACTTTTCCACCTTTGACGGATCTCCCTGATCTTTATTAAAGCTTCGCTCGCCACTGTCACCTTGGGCTTGGGGAGTGCAGGTAGGTGGAGGGGGCGGCAGCTGGGGGAGGGAGAAACAGGAGACACCCGGAGGCTGTTGCGGTGGGAGGGGGGACTGGGCGGGCGAGGGAAAGTAACTCTTCTCTTTGGCTCGACTAGGAGTCACCCTCGTTCTTCTCCTGGGCGGCTTGTCTAGCTGAAAGATGCGCTTTTTGGCTCTACGTATCTCTGCACAAGGGGAAAGGAGGGAGGGAGAGCAGGCGGGGACCTTTTTAAAAACTTCCATACCGCAAAAGAGCGATTTCGAAACTGGGGTGAATGGAAAACGCCGAGCGGTAAGCGATCACTTTGCGCTACGGTTCGACTTATAGGAGGGGAGGGGGGAGAAGACCCGGGATTATTTAACGTAGGGATCGCCATCCTCGAGACGTTTAAGTCGGAGCTCCGGGTTTAAGTCGGGGCTCGTGATAATGACTTCCAAATGGGACGTTGGCCAAGGCGTAAGAAAGTTGTCCAAGCAGATGAAGTAAGTTATTTGTGGATGGAGAGCTTATGAGGAAGTGGCTGGCTTGTAGCTTAGCTAAACGAAGCCGACCATCCCTCAAAGAAGGAGTGGCTGCTAGAAGGAAATGGTGAAATTAGAAATTGGTATCTGAGCATTTTATATATAAAATATATAAAAGGACGTGCGTGGTCATTCGAATGGGCCCTTTTGTCTCCTATAAATTATATACCGCACGAAGAAGCCCATCTCATGGAGAAAGTCCATAGGGAGGGGGGTCTGCTCAAGAATTACCGCTGTGAACATTCTTTTTAAAACTCTGGAGCGAAGCTGAAGGTTATTTGGAATCGGCCAGATCCAAAGCTGCAGTGGACAGATACCTCATTTTCCGACCGGGATCAATTCCCTTCGGCATTTCCGTAGGGGAGCCTCCAAGGGCCTTTAAATCCCCTCGACTTTATTCCTTTCCAGCCATTGCTTAAAAAAAGTAATAGTCTGTCTCGGTCTTCTCCTTCGCAGCCATGCGCAGTACCTACAGCAGAATCCTATCCTGAGTTCCTCCAAAGTCGCTGTATTGTATTCGTGGCCTTAATTAATGGGCGAAGGGATTCCCATTTCGCAGATTTTATCAAAAGAGGACCCTTGTCCGAATATTAACCTTTGACTCTTTCTGTTCCCCCCCCCCGTCCCGCCGCTATTGTCTTCACAGCTGCTTGAAGGAAGGGGGCCTGGGTCGGCCGATTGCCAAAGGTCTGCGCCCCGAAGCTTGGCGATCCTGAGAAAGAGGAAGGACGCCCAAAAGAGAAGCGCTATGAGGTCTCCTGGGTGGAGGAGTTACTTTGGACAGCAGAAAAAGAAGAGAAACGCCAGGGTCCTGGGCTAAATTTCCGAGAGTCAACCACGCCTTTGGGGCTCTTTCCTCTGGATTCCTCACTTGGTGGGTTCTCTCGGCGGCTTTGTTGAAATCGAGGGTTTCATATAATGCTGCTCTTCAGCTGGTAAGGCCGCTCTGCGCTCGCCTCCGCCCCACTGCAAACCCCAGCGCCGGAGGTTTTGGAGAAATGGCTTAGACTAGGGACGCCGAGCCAAGCCAAGCGGAGCTGGCCATGCTTTGCTGGGAGTGATCTTTCGTCTTGGATGCATCTGCGGAGCTGGCCTGGTCGCAGAGAAGGGAAAAGAAAGCACCATGAAAGAGAAATCCAAAAACGCTGCCCGAACTAGGCGGGAGAAAGAAAACAGCGAATTCTACGAACTGGCCAAGCTTCTGCCATTGCCTTCGGCTATTACCTCGCAACTGGACAAGGCCTCCATCATTCGGCTCACTACCAGCTACTTAAAAATGAGGGTGGTGTTCCCGGAAGGTAAGTAGCACCCCCCTCCAGCCTTTCATCTCTCTAATGCCTTAGGGAGAGTGGAACCAATAGGGTTATTCTTCCTGGCTGGGCCAACCTTGACTTCCGCCTCTTTTGTCTGTTCAAGAGAACTTCCAGAGCGACTGACAAAGGCTAAGGGCAGTCCAGTGAAAACTTACCTATTCGTAGGGCAGAAGTTGTGTGGATTTTACAGAAAGTTCTCTGGAGACTTTCCTCTTTTGTCTGCTACTTCTCCTCCTCCTCCTCCTCCTCC